TGTACATATGGTAATCAGTGGATAACTATTTATTGAATATCGTGGAATAAAGCCTCTCATTATTTTTCGGTTTTAGTGTCTTCATTGATAAGTTGATAAATTGCGCTACTGTTCGACGTCTACATATAAACCTTTAAAATACGATATAACTAAATAGCACATACCGAAAAAATGAGCTTACGAACATTAGTTCTTATTAAGATAGCCATGTAGGTCATTGTTGGAAATGCTTCAAAACAGCAAACCACATTGTCTAGCATACAAAATATCTGCTAGATACTACACATATTGTTATTCCTAAGATTTATAAAAAACTTTATATAATGGTTGACCGCTTTAAAAGTGCCTTTATTAGATATCTAGCTAACGAGGCTCTTCGTATATTAACTTTTTCCAGGGTAATATCACAGAGAAATTGGCGACCTTTGACAATTTCTTTGACTTACCGGAAGATAAACGATTCAGATTGACTGGAAATGAAAGAACATACTTTCCTCTTTATAACGGATTATTTTTCGCTTAAGGGGATTAATTCCACGATCCGTTATAAGCTTGCGAATTCAAAAACAACAGACCATATATATGACCATCTTTTAAAATACTTATGATCGTTCTTCTGCAAAAATTCCCATTTTACGATTGAAAAGTCGTTTTGGTGAACAATTGTTTTCGATCATTCGTCATCAGGCCGATACATGACATGGGGGATAAAATGGTCAGATAATTGCAGCGTTTATATTACAGTCAGGTTGGAGGGGAGGGAGTTAGTGGGAAAGGTGATTAGGCAGCTGGGTTTTCCCTCGTCTCCTCGTTTGTCTCTCGTCTCGTCTGTCTGTTCTGTTTATAAATAACGCTTGGGCGGAACGAATTGTTTACAAAAAGTATATTTCTAAATGACTTACATACAAGAAGGCCTTCTTTAATTCCCTTCGCGGTCACACGTATTGCAAAGTTTGCTATTTTGCAATGTCAGTGGTGGGTTTTAAACAAAGCGTGACGAAACCTTTTTGTTACTGCGTTTTTGTGCAAAAAAACTTCACAGATTCGCTAAACATAATTTTTTAAACTTAAATTCTTGCTTTTTTTGAAAATAAATGCGATTCCTTAAACTTGGGTTCACTTCCATTTGATCAACTTCGCACAAATTTTTCCAGTTCTGGAAGGGATTATTATTCCAACTTTTTACTAATTATGGAATTCTTCCATAGCGCAATATATATTAGTAAAAAGTTTGGTTCTGTTATATCTTATAGCATAGGAAACTTCTTCAATATAAAATTACTCATGATTAAGCCAAATGAGTGCATATTTCCCTCATTCATTTTAACTAAGAGGGCAGTTTTCCAAACCAAAGCCCTTCTTATTATTTAATTCACTCAGTTGATCAAAATAAACCGTCCAGATAAATGATAAACCACCAAGTTAAATTTCTTCATAAAAGTTGTTTGTAGGACTTGCCATACTGTATTTTTCTAACGAATTAATACACAATTATAAACATTTCAGGTCTGTCTGCATAAGTAGTATTTGCCTTTATAAGAGCCTGGAAAATAAATGGGAAAAATTAATACTACACAATCAGAAATCATTTACGGAGTGTGATCTTTGCAGCTGGCCCGAAGGAAGCTCGCTCCCTAGCCAACATCCTGACCTGATTGAAATATAAAAGAATTATGTTGTCAGATACTTAATATTTCAAACCATCTACAATAGTGTTTTTTTCTAATCCAAAGCACACCTCAGGATTTTGCTCAACATTTCATAAAAAAGGCTTTCTACTGTACGATTAAGTGGACATCACCGGGGTGAACATAAAAAATGTCAGCTGTGTACAGAAAGTTCTCGGTAGCCCAGACTCAGGGTAGTTGTCAGAACAGTCTAAGATATCCACGCTGGTCACGCCGTCTAACTGATAAAATGGGTTCGCCCAAATTCCCCCCTGTGTCGAATATCCTAAATGTTTTCAGGTGTTTATAGGTAATTGGTGGAAAGCAATGAGTCCAGCTTGTTGTTTATGCTGCAAAAACACCTCTCACTTGCCTTCAGAACGCACGAATAGGGTGGCCTCGCGGGCGTGTTTGCGTTTTCTAATCAGGGGTGGTAAATTTTGCAAACAAAAAAAAATAGCTCATCCAACCAATTTGTAGGCACACGCAAGTCCTGTTCGGTGACACGAAGTGTAAATGGCACTCTGTCTTCGAAAAACTTCTTCTCACATTCATTGTCCTTGGAGGTCGTACTAGAGCCCACAGCGGCGAAACAGCCCCAACGTATTCGCAGAGTAACGCAAACATGTTTATCCTCAATTCCGAAAGTAATTGTTCCATTGAACATCCTCTGTTTGACTACAAAGCCACCATTGGCTCTGCTGTCTACAATCTACGAAACATAACCCTGGAAGATGAATCCATTTTTAGTGTTATACTAAACGCACTCGTACTCTCCGGTTGTAATTTAAAACAGGATTATCATGCTTCGCAGATGTTGACTGTGAACTGGGCAATCTTGTGCTGAGCGCCGTATTTAATGGCAATTCCATCATTATTGGTCCCCAGTCCGGCAGCGACTGTGATCTCGTAACGGA